AGTGCTCTCACCACAGAGTGGCGTGGTATGCTGCTCACCACAGAGTGGCATGGAGCGTCTGAGGTGAGGGATATGCTGAGTCCCTGACTTAATCATTACAAGGCTTATACATATGCAAAAACATGACGTCATCATAAGTGCATGGCGAATGAATGAGTGAGTGAGTTAATGATGGGCTGAAACCACAACACCTCTTCTCCCACTGGACTGAGAGTTCCTTAGATTTTATGAGGGGCAGCCTCAAAGTAACTAAACCATTCTGGAGACCTGGGAGCTGGACACAATATAGATAAAGCACTTCCCCGAGCAAAGTCAGGTGAGTTGACCCTAGTGAAGAGAAAGAGCAGAGGGCAGCAGTAGCAGAAGGGCTGCAATCCTGGATGCCAGCAGAGGCTGTTGTAATGCCACCAGGAACTGCAGAGATTTGCCTGAAATGGACATCAGCCTTGGAGAGTGCAGTCACTGGGGCAGCTCACCATTGGTGTTCAGAAAAAGGGAGTGGCTGGAGCGGGGTTGGGAGGGAGAAGACCAGATGTGGGGCATTGCAATATGAAAAGGTGAGCTGGAGAGAAGGCTCAGCGGTTAAGAGCACTGACTGCTCTTCCAGAGGTCCTGGGTTCAATTCCCAACAACCACATGGCAGCTCACAACCATCTGTAATGGGGTATGATGCCCTCTTCTAGTGTCTATCTGAAGACAGACAGCTGCAGAGTACTCATATATGTAAATTTTTTTAAAAGCTTACCCTGGGAAAGGCTTGGGGCTATACTGGGATCCTGAACACCCAGTGTGGTCACCAGTGGCTTAATAAAGACTTCCTATTGGCTTCAACCCACACCTGAGCAGTCTTCTCTGGTGACTACCCCACAGCTCTGTAAGATTTAGGGACAGCGGGTGTTTCCTAAATGTCTCTAGCTGTTCCTCACTTCTGGGAATGATGAGTTGGACCATCCTTCTTACCCTGCCCCAGCTTCACCCTGTTCCAGCAGCCCAGATGTCCTCCTCACTAAAAGCCCCTCCCCAAAGGACCCTGACCCAATACAGCTCGTGCCTTGTGTCTCCAGACCCTCTGCCCTTTCTCTTCCTTGAAATGAGATACCAAATCAGTGAGCCACGGGAAGCTTGCGGCCTTGATCAGGCAACAAATCGTCCCACAGCAAATGATAACAAGCTCTTCGCTTTAGCAAACATTTATTGAACACTCACTGTGTGATAGGCTCTCGATGGGGCACCAGGAATAAAATGGGAAACTAGGGAGATAAAAATGCCAAAACCAAGTTGAAGGAGGCAAAGGTTTAGTGTGTCAGCTGGTGATGCAGAGAGTAGGGTTCTGTGTGGGCTGTTGTGCTGGGGACTTGCCCTCCTTGTAATAGCTTCAAGGCCTTTTCACACGTAAGGAGGTATCAGTGCTCTGTTGTTTCTCACGGCTGAATAATGATCCATCCGTCGTGTGACTAGGACATCTTGTCTGTCCACCCATCTGCTGACAGGTTCCTGGTTTGACATTTGTGAACAAGGCTTGGGATTTTTAGTTTTGTTTCTGTTTGTTTGTTTGTTTGTTTGTTTTAGCCAAACAAAACAAAAGGTTTTGGGCGGAGCACACCTGTATTGCATACTTTTAATCCCAGTGTTCAGGAAGAGAAGGCAGGCAGATCTCTGGGAATTTGAGGCCAGGCAGGGCCATATATTTTGTCTCAAAAAGAAACAAAACAGCCTGGCAGTGGTGGCACATGCCTTTAATCCTAGCACTTGGGAGGCAGAGACAGGTAGATTTCTGAGTTCAAGGCCAGCCTGGTCTACAGAGTGAGTTCCAGGACAGCCAGGGCTACACAGAGAAACCCTGTCTTGAAAAACCCAAAACAAAAACAAAAAAAAAAGAAAAAGAAACAAAACTGAAAACAAACAAACACAGCAAGTCCTCCAGTAGCTCAGGCTGGCCTTGAACTCCCGGACCTCCTGTGTCTGCCTCTCCAGCTCGAGGACTCCAAGTGTGCCTTACCATGGCTCGAAAGTACAAGTTTTTACGTGGACTAGCTGGATCTCATGGTGCCTGTATTTAGCACTTTGAGTAACTGCAATGCTGCTTCCTAAGGCTGCTTCACAAGCCCCAGCATCAGGTGTGGGGGCTACTGCCCCGTTCCTCTTATCAACCTCAAAGCTCTTCCTTCCTCCAGCCACAGTTAGTGGAGCTGCTGTCTCCCTTCCCTGAGCCCCAACTCTCACTACGGTTGTCTGGTTCACCCCAGGTGGAGGTCCTACCAGAGTCAGCTTCTCCATAACACAGCTCAACATCCTTCAGTGGCTGCCAGGAGGCTGAAAATCAACCCATTGTTCCCTGTGACACCACTCGCTTCCTACTCCCCTGCAGTTTGGGTACAAAGCCTCTCACTGACCTCAGGATGTGCTAAGTCTGCCCACAGGGTTACCCCCTCTGACAACATTCGTTGACCTACTTCCCAGTTACCTCTTTCGCCTCCTCCCCTACCTGTGCCTCACAGTCCCCTTCCCAGAGACACCTGCCCTGAGTTCTTCCCACACTCTCTCCATCTTCCTTGGAGAGACTTTTCTACCTGTGTGACAGCTGGCCTGAGGGTTATCTCTCTGGGGCTTGTGAAGACGTGGATGCTGGTGCCTTGCCATTGCTTTAGAGACTCCGTGTAGCAGTTGACACTTGCAATCCTAGGACTTTGGAAACTGAAGCAATGAGAAAATCCTTGTTCTCTTCAGGAGGTCCACTCTGCTGGCTCGACTTTCCTCTCTACTGATACTACCACTAACAATGACAGTAACATCAACAGTAATAAACAAAGACAACGATATATCAATAATATATTACTGATGCATACTATTATTAAATAATAATTTTTAAAATGTTACTTGGACCACACCTGTAATCCAAGCACTCAAGAGCCTGAGGCCAGAAGATGGTTGCTGGTTTGTGGACGTCCAGAGCTACAGAGTGAGTTCCTGTACCACTTAAGTACAGTAAGACCCTGTCTCGACAAAGCAAATCCACACAAAACTTTGGTGGTGATTGAGGAACTGGTCAACATAGCCGGCTTCTTCCGGCAGTCCTGACTTCTGGCACACAGCTGAACTAATCACACTGATAGTAATTAAATAAACATTTATTGAGTGAACTTATGAACAAACAGCAAGTTTCCCGACCTCATTACTGGTAGCCAATCCCGGCCTGTCACCCTCAGGCTAAAATCCCCTCAGGTGGCGCAACTGGCAAACTAAGCCTCCCAGTTGAACCAACAAGGACTGCATTTCCCAGAACACTCTGCGCAGGCCCATAACTCCCTGTAAGCCTCTCTTTCTCCAGGTTCTGGTTCTTCAGTCAGGGGGTTCTGCTTTGCGTGCTCATTTCCCGGTCACTCCAGTTCCATCCCCTGTACCTTTCTGATCCTCCATTCCACGATGATCCTGCCTCAGTTTCTCCAGTGAGCTCCCCGAGACGCTTCCCCTCCTCCCAGTGCCCCCAGTGAGCAGTGCTGCGCGCGCAGCTCCGGTCCAGCCTCACTGAGGGGACGAGTCGCAGGTATTCCTGGACCATGGAGACATCCTCGCCGAGGGCGGCAGTCCGTGTTTCCGGGTGTGTCTGCAACTCTGTGTGCCGCCGCGTAGGGTGGGACCCCGAGACTGCAGCCTGACACGTGATGTGTGTGTGTGTGTGTGTGTGTGTGTGTGTCTTGTCTGATGTGTCGGTGTCCCTGACGGCCAGATTCCAGTCTTACCTCTGCCAATCCCCTGTTCTGTGCATGGGGCAGGTGACTGCCCCTCTCTGTGCCTCAGTTTCCTTACCTATACGTTGGGCATGATAAAAACACCTGTCTTGGGGGCTGTTGTAATGATTGGAAGGTAATATTGTAAATCATGGGGAACGCCTGGCGCAGAGTAAATCCCGCTAAGAATAAATACATGAAATAAACTACGCTTATGCATCTTTTGTGCCCATGTGTGTTGGTGTATGTGATGTGACGAGGCTGCAGTGGATAAGGAACCCTCATAATCACGTCTAAAGAGTGTGTCCATTCGTGCTCTGTGTTTAGGTAGGTGGTGTGCCTTTGTGTGTAATACGTGTGACTGTACATTTGCACAGGGCATGTTTGTATCCCTGTTCTGTATTTGTTTTTGCATACGCGATGTGGCTTTGCATGTATGAACTGTGTGTTCCCGTGTGCATGTATGTGATATGCGTTTGTCCCCGAAAGTGAGCAATGCGCATACCCAGTGTCTGCATACATGCATGTGTTGTTTCTGTATGTTCACATATGTGACTAACCAGCCTGTGTCTGTATGCATGCAACTGTCTTTATGTGCTTGAATTAGTGATTTCTGTGTGTTCTTTGTTGCCTGTGTGGAATATCAGTTTATGACAACATACCTCCTCATGTCCCAAAGGGTCTGAATGGATCTTTGTGATACCTCCCTATGTTTGGAGCGCTATGTTGTATATGTGCGTGTGCGTGCGTGTGATGCTGGGGTATTCCTGTGTGGCTGGGTGAATCTGTACCAACCAGAGTCTGAACTGCCTATACATTCTCAGTGTGGTCTGTCCCTGTGTCTTTGTGTGTGACGTGTCCGTGTCTCCGTTTGCTGATGGCTGTCCACCTTTGTATGAGATGCGCTTGTGAAGGTTCCTGTGACATGTGTCAGCTGTGTGTGGGCTGCGTGGGCTGGATATCTGCATCTTAGCATGTAGCACACGTGTGGGCACCAGTGTTGTGTCACAGTGGTGTCAGGGCCACGCACTGTGGACCCTGCCCCCCTCCAAGGGTCTGTTGGTCTCTGTCTGTCCCTCCTCACCCTCCCTATTCTCCCCTCCCGCCTGGCAGCCAATGCAACCGGGAACCAGTTGCCATGACAACGCTCCCTCCTTCCTCCTCCCACCCTTCCTCTGACAGGCTCTCTGTTCCCCCAATCCGGATTGTCCTCGGGGGCGGGGCCCTCGTTCTCCCCCCCCCCAACCTTCCCCTCCCCCCTGCCCCAGCAACCCCGGCTCCCCAGCTCCTCTCCTCCGTCCGCCTCTCCATCCCTTCATCCGTCTGTCCTTTCGAGGAGGGGGAGGGGGGTATCTGAGCCAGTAAGCAACCCCTCCCTCCCCCTGTCCTGCATCTCTCGCCCCTCTCCTGGGCTGGGGGAGGCCAGGGTTGAGCGGGTCCCCATGGCTGGGGGCTGAGGGCCCGCCCCCCCTCCTCCCCAGCCGCCGATTCCTCCACCTCCCTTCCATCCTGGACAAGATGCCTGCACCCGGCGCGCTCATCCTCCTGGCGGCCGTCTCCGCCTCCGGCTGCCTGGCGTCCCCAGCGCACCCGGGTGAGTATGTCCAGCCGTCCGCGGCCCGCGCCCCACCCCCACCGGGCCCGCCCGGCACCTGTGCGCAGTCCCCGGGGACGAGCGGGTCTGCAGGGCCAGGGAGACCAGCCAGGGCGGGTGGGGAGTGGGCTGCGGGCCGAGTGCGTGCTTGTGAGCGTGCATGTGAGCTCATGTGCACGCGAGTGCACACGGGTGCGCGGGGAGATGGAAGGCCGCAGCGTTTGGGGGAAGAGAGACCCTATTTCTAAGGGGAACACAGCTCAGGCTTTGCAGAGACCCGTCCCCCAGGCCTTAGGCTGAAGCTAGAGAACAAGTCTGTGTTCCCAGTGTCTTTAAAAGAAACAGTTCTCAGTCACCCTTCAGGCATGGGGTGGGCAGTGGGTTCAGCTCGGGGCAAATATCTTCCAGCAGCCCGCAATTGGGGGAATGGTGGTCATGAAGCTGTCTATGGTAGCATATTGTAAATTCTCAGAGCTCCAGGCCTCACTATTTATTGCTAGTCACTAGAATGTATCCGGGTTACGGGATGCGTTTGGGGTGGGGGGTGGGGGGTGGGTCCCAGCTTGGACCGAAAGGAGGGGCCCCACCCCCAACCACCTGGGAAGGCCTTAAACTACAACTCCCACAATACATTAGATCACCTGGCCCCTCTGCCAAGGGGCCCCTGGATTCGGAGCATCATGGGGGTTGTAGTCCAAGACTAGCCCAGAATGGGAGGGGCATGGAGTCCCGTAGCCAGTGTCTTGAAGCCCAGACCCCAACCTAGCCTTGTGCCCACAGATGGATTTGCTCTGAGCCGGGCCCCTTTGGCTCCGCCCTACGCTGTAGTCCTCATTTCCTGTTCGGGTCTGCTGGCCTTCATCTTCCTCCTCCTTACCTGTCTGTGTTGCAAACGGGGTGATGTTCGTTTCAAGGTGAGGTGCCCTAGGACTAACCTAGGAGAAAGACCCCAGGCAGCAAAGAGACTGGAGGTCCCAGGGCACTCCCAAGACCTAGGGCTTTGGGATCCGCACACCAGCGGAAATGGGGCTGGGATTTGAGGGACAGGTCTGTGAACTGAAGGGAGGCAATTAGGGCAGGATGGTGGCATCTCAGCACCCTCCTCCCGATGCTCCCATTCTTCACCTCTCGCACCCCAGGAGTTTGAGAACCCGGAAGGGGAGGACTGCTCTGGGGAGTACACTCCCCCTGCGGAGGAGACCTCCTCTTCACAGTCACTGCCTGATGTCTATATTCTGCCGCTGGCAGAGGTCTCACTGCCAATGCCTGCCCCACAACCTGCACACTCAGGTACTGCACCTTTCACTCCAAGATCCTGCGATCCCAACACTGAGGGAGGGTAGAGGGTAGAGTGCAGCGCCCTATATTCGTGGCAGCAACTTCAGGCTACACACACCATCTTGCAGAAAACCCCAGATCGAAAGAATCCTGCAGGATGGCCCTGGTGCCATCTTTACCTGGGAGCCAGCCTACTAACCAGTCTTGGAGCTAGCGTTACCAAAGGGAAGGGCTGATTGGGCTCTGGATCTCATGGGCAGCCAATGAGGAGGCTGGACCCTGCCATGGAATGTTGGAGACAGCCAATAAAAGAGTGTTGTCTACTCTGACCTCAGACCCCTCCCACTGTGGTGGTGTGGGGCATCCTTGATAGGAGAGAAGCTCAGGGCCTCCCCTCCTGCCCCCTCCTCAGACATCAGCACCCCCCTGGGCCTGAGCCGCCAGCACCTCAGCTACCTGCAGGAGATTGGCAGCGGCTGGTTTGGGAAGGTGAGGGGCCTGGGTGGGAGGCAGAAGGGGTATCCATACATCTCTGGCATGTGCTCCTGTTCTGTGTCTACCCCCATTTGTCATCTGCTCTTGGCCTCCTTAGCCCCATGCCCCTCAGCCTGCCCCTCCACCTCCACCTCTCACCCACTCCCACCCACCTACCCCCACATCTGTCGGTCAGCGCCTCCCTCCTCACTCCATTGACCACTCCGCCTCGCCACCCGGCTCTCCACGCGTCCGTCAGTCTGTCCATCCTTCCATCCGTCCCGCGTGCATCGGATTCTGGGCCTGTGAGTCTCTCACTCTGTGTCTGGTAGGGGACCAGGGAGGTGGGACATGAAGGGAAGATCTGGAAGTGGTTGGGAGTTTGGGATGTATGGAGCTGCCCTGGGGACCAGCTGGGCACAGGTCAGCACTGATCTTAGGACTCCTTGATCAGGTGATCCTCGGGGAAGTTTTCTCAGACTACTCACCAGCTCAGGTGGTGGTGAAGGAACTCCGGGCTAGTGCAGGACCCCTGGAGCAGCGCAAGTTCATCTCCGAGGCTCAGCCCTACAGGTATGTCTGTGGACAGGGGTTCGAAAAACAAAGTACCAAGTGGTAGAGGAGATTTTTGGAAATAGGGGGAACCCAGTGTGGTGTCAAACCAGGCTTCCAGTCTCAGATTTCTTCCTGGCTGTGTGACTTTGGTGCTGGCAATTCCCTCCTGGAGTCTTGGGTCTTCCCTAGAGAAAGCTAGAGACAACATGGAGAAGGGGTTCCAGGATACTGAACCTGGCATCTTCATCCTAGCAACAGTTAAGACCAAACTATCCCTGTGTTGGCCTGACCTGCCTTCTCCACTGTGAGAAAGACCTGCTAGCTCCCTGCTTGTGTCCTTCCTTCCTTCCTTCCTTCCTTCCTTCCTTCCTTCCTTCTTTCTTTCTTTCCTTCCTTCCTTTCTCTCTCTCTCTCTCTCTTTCTTTCTTTTTTAAAGATATATTTATTTATTTTATGTATGATTACACTGTCTTCAGACACCAGAAGAGGACATCGGATCCTATTACAGATGGTAGTGAGCCACCATGTGGTTGCTGGGAATTGAACTCAGGACCTCTAGAAGAGGTCAGTGCTCTTAACCACTGAGCCATCTCACCAACCCCAGGTCTCCATTCTTAACACATATGGTTGTGTTTGGAGGTATGAGCTTCCACTCATAGGAAGTGCATATGGCTCATCCATCAAGACACAGACTTTAGAGTCTGGTCCAGCATTGTTCCAAGACCTTCCATGGTTCCTCAGTGCTCTCTGGGCGTGGCCTCAGTTCTCTGTAGTCCACAGGCCATGCACAGTCTAACACTATAATCTTCTTGCCTCTGTCCTACTGACCTCAGTTTCCCACCCCTTCCCTCCAGCTCCCACACATACCACAGTTGCTTCCCTGCCCTAAGGCCTTCATTATTACTTCTCTCTCTCTCTGTAGAACACCACAGCTTACCTGCCATGTCTAATGTTGAACTGGGGGTTCATGTTCCCTTTAGTCTTAGCTCAAAGAGGCCTGCCTTTGTCACAGGCCCAGGTTAGAAGGGCCTTCCACAGGCATGGTGAGTGTTGCCTGCAACCGTACTCATTGCTGAGGCAGGAGAATTGTAAGCTTGAGACCAGCCTGGGCTATAGAAGGACACCCTGTCTCAAAAAGTGTGTGTGTGTTTGTGTGCACGTGCCTGTGTGCACGCACATACAGTGGAGTCTTATTTTGCCTTTCTATTTGCTTATTGCCTGTCTTTCTCTAGACCAAGGCTATTTAAATTTAAGCTAAAGGAAATGAAATCAATTCAGAACACCAGGTGTAGTTCACCCCTGTAATCAGAACTTGCAGGAGGCTGAGGCTGGAGGATCTCTAGGGATTTGAGGCCGACCTAGGCTACAAACAAATGACTTTAAATCTTCATTTCCTGAGTGACACTTGCCACATTTCAGGTGCTTCATAGCTGACCCATGTCAGAAATCTCTTGGGACAGCACAGGCTGACTGGCTTCTCATTGTTCTCCCTGCCTCTGAGGTTTACAAGTTCCATCAGCCCTCAGCAGATGCTTGCTGATCCAGACATAGACCTTGAACTTAAATCCCAGCTATGTGGCACTAGGCAAGTTGCTTCACTTCTCTGAGCCTCTCTTCCCTTCTGGATCACCCCGTCTTCATTCTGCTTCTCAGAGTTGTGGTGAATCCAGACTTTCTCTCTCCCCATTGTTGGTTGCTGCTTCTTGTCATTTCTCAGGTCCCAGCACATGACAGGTACTTTCCACATGTGGGATGTCATCCCTAAAGTAAGATGTCAGGTGTGTCCTCCTAGGAGGGCAAGGGCTGAGGACCCCGCCAAGCTGTGGTTGTAGCACAGATACTAGCCTGGCTCCAGTGCCAAAGTGACCCTTGGAATTTATTATACAGTGTTAGAGAAAGAACTCTCCTGTAGCAGCTCCACTCAGCTTGGATATCAGAACGAGACAGAGAAAGGGAAGGGTCTGTAGGGCAATTTTGAAAGACTGAGGAGTCTGGGTTCTGTAGGAGTTAGCAGTCTTGCAAAGCATTGTGGGAAGCTGATTACAGGAAGAGAGAATGTACAATAGGGTTGGGCAGTGGCCAGCATCCCTCAGACACAGCTGGGACAGAGGGGGAAGTCTAGTCAAGCGTATGTCTACGTGTTGGAATAAAAGCAGCAATAGCAGCTGGCCTGGTGGTGCACACCTACCCTTTATCTCAGCACTCTGAAGGCTGAGGCAGGAGGATTATGCTTTCCCAGGCAGCCTGGACTGCAGAGTGAAACTGTCCCTTAAATACATAGAATAGCAAGGCCCTCCCACAGTGTGAACAGCCCCTCTCACAGAGTGTTCTCCATGGCCGCGTGTGGGAGCCACTGCCCCCATCCAGCAGAGGAAGTCTTGGGAAGGATTTGGGTGCAAGGTTGAATGAAGAGGCAGTGAAGCCGTTTGGGGGACCACATTGCAGCTGGGGCCTAAGCTATGGCAGAGACAACATGGGCTGGAGAGATGGTTCAGTGGTTAAGAATGTATGCTGCTCTTTCAGAGTACCTGAGTTTAGCTCTTGGGTACCTTATAAGTCACATGGCTCACAAGTGCCTATTACTCTAGCTTCAGAGGATCTGGAGCCCTCTCCTGCCTTCATGGGCACTTGCACTCACTTGCACATAAACATGCCTATATACATATAATTCTAAAAGATTAAGAAATAAGGAAAGCCGGGCGGTGGTGGCGCACGCCTTTAATCCCAGCACTCGGGAGGCAGAGACAGAGGATTTCTGAGTTCGAGGCCAGCCTGGTCTACAGAGTGAGTTCCAGGACAGCCAGGGCTACACAGAGAAACCCTGTCTCAAAAAAACAAAAAAACAAACAAACAAAAAAAAACCAAAAAAACAAACAAACAAAAAAAAGAAATAAGGAAAAAAAGAAAAAACAGTGAAGGCCAGACAGGGGTGGTTACTCACACCTTTAATCCCAGCACTTAGGATGCAGAGGCAGGCAGGTGTTTGTGAGTGTGGGGCCAGCCTGGTCTACATAGTTAGGTTCAGGACAGCCAGGGCTATATAGAGAGACCCAGAGTTGGAGAGGGAGAGGGAGAGGGA